CAAGCCTAGGTGTCCAACCTTTCCTTACATGACAATCCTCTCATTCCAGGCATTATTCTGTAAAATGATTTCTGAACTGCCTCTAACACAGTACACATTACTCCAAGTGTAGTTGTACCACCACCTTGTACAGCTGAAGGAAAACACCCTTACTTCTGCATTCAATTCCCTTTACAATAAGCATTAACATTCTATTACTTTTCCTGCATGCTGTACCTGCAGACTAATCACACACTAGGACAGCCAGATCCCTTGAACAGAAATGCAAAACAATTAGTCTGCAGATACAGCATTTAGATAATATGCTTCCTTTTTATTCTTCCTACTAAAAAGGCAATTTCCTATTTTCCCACATTATACTCCATTTACCTGAATTTTGCCCACTTATTTAACCTGTATCTCTTTGTAGCCTTCTTTGTCCTGTTCACAAATTACTTTCCTACTCACCTTAGTATAATCAGCAAATTTAGCGATTACACTTTCAGTGCCTTCATCCAAGTCATTTATGCACATTGCAAGATGTTAAGGACCTAAAACTAAACCGTTGCACACCACTTGTTAAATCTTGCCAACTGGAAAATGGCTCATTTATGCCTATTCTCTGTTCCCGGTTAGCTAGCCAATACTCGATCCATCACAAAATGTTCCCATTTACAAGTCAAACCACCACGAGTCATCTCTCCCTATGACAGAACAGCCCTATGGTCTGGTAGGACTATGGTGACATTACCGTTATTTTTCCACAATAATGTACCTTATCATAACTGCCTGCTTTCACCTCAGTAATACTGCCCCTGCCCATATTACGGAAATCCTCATCCATGCTACATTTACCTCCCGACTTAACTATCCTAATACAATGCAGGCTGGCTCTCCAACTTTCAACCTCCATAAACTCCAATTCATCCAAAGCTGTCCTACTCATACCAAGTCCAGCACTCAGTGAACTGTACAGGCTCCAGTACAGCATGCTTGAATTTAAACTCTCTTATTATAGTGTCTCCTTGGTACTGCTGTAGCCTATCACTGTAACCTCTTCTTACAATTCCTCTTGGCTTGTATACCCCTGATTTCTTTCATCTCACCACTGGCAGCTATGCCTTCAACTTTGGAATCCTCTCCCTATGTCTTTATCACTGCTTCTTTATGAAGCACCTTGAAACTTAATGTTTTGACCAAGCTTTTCACCACCTGGTGTTATAATTTTCAAATATGGCACAATGTCAAATTTTGTCTGATAATACTTCTAAAAAGCACCCTAGGAAACTTTATTAAATTGAAGGTGCCAAGTTATTGTAATAAAAAGCAGAATTTGACTTATAGATCGTTGGCTCCAATAATACTACCGGTGGCTCAGTGGTTAGCACTGCTACCTCACAGCGCCAGGGATCCAGGTTCGATTCCAGCCTCAGGTGACTGTCTGTGTAGAGTTTGCACATTCTCCCCGTGTCTGCGTGGGTTTCCTCTGGGTGCTCCAGTTTCCTCCCACAGTCCAAAGATGTGCAGGTTAGGTGGATTGACCATGCTAAATTGCCCATAGTGCTGAGGGATGTTTAGGTTAGGTGGGTTAGACAAGGGAAATGTAGGGGTAGGGGGATGGGTCTGGGTGGGATGCTCTTCGGAGAGGCACTGTGCACTTGTTGGGCCGAATGGCCTGTTTCCACACTGTAGGGATTCTATGATTCACATGAGTGCACAAAGGATTTGCTTGTACTAAGTAAAAATAGCATGTTCCTAGCTAACACTATTCAACTCAAAACCATACTTAAACAAAAGAAAGGAAAAAGAAGTAGAAGCAGTCATTTGGAAAGTACAGAAGCTCTTCAAGAACAGAAAGATCAAAGAGTTTGCAAAATCATAAAAGTCCCACGTTATACATTAGTGACTTGGACAAGGGCATTTCGTTAGGTTTGCAGATGAGACAAAGATAGGTGGAGGGACAGGTAGTGTTGAGGAAACGGAAGGCTGCAGAAGGACTTTGACAGGCTAGGAGAGTGGACAAAGAAGCGGCAGATGGAATAAAATGTGGGAAAGTGTGAAGTTATGTACTTCACAGAATAGAGGCAGACTATTTTCCATATGGGCAAAGGCTTCAGAGGAAATCTGAACCACAAAGGGACTTGAGAGTCCTTGTTCAGGATTCTCTTAAGGTTAACATGCAGGCTCAGTTGGCAGCTAGGCAGGCAATACAATGTTGGCATTGAATTTGAGAGGAATAGAATACAAGAGCAGTGATGTCTTGTACGAGACTCTGATCAGACTGCATTTGGAATAATGTGAGCAGTTTCCGGCCCCATATCTAAGGAAGGATGTGCTGGCCTTGGTAGGGGTTCCAGGGCAGGTTCACAAGAATGATCCCGGGAATGAAAGGCTGGTCATGAGGAGTAGTTGAGGACTCTGGGTCTAAGGGTGAGGGGGATCTGACTGAAAATAACAAAATACTGAGAGATCTGGATACAGTGGACATTGAGAAGATGCTTCCACTAGTAGGAGAGATGAGGACTCAAGAACACAGCCTCAGAGTGACCCTTTAGAACTGAGATGAGGAGGAATTTCTTCGGTCAGAGGGTGGTGAATCTCACTGCCACAAAAGGCTGCGTTAACAACAGACCATGTCATGTGAACATGAGCATAAAATTAACAGTTCGTGTTCCTCTCGCTATCTTTTAGCATTATGGAAGTAATGTTAAGAACATAATGCATATTAACAAATATTGTGGAGACCATAAAGTCTTTCTTTCACAGATTGCAGACAAATCAATCCAATCTATTAATCTTTTAAGAAAAGATTCTCATTTTCCTCCCCCTACAGTGGCATAGCAAAGTAAAACTCCATACGACCTCTCCAACATATTACTTGTTGTATCACTGATTTTGATCTAGGTAAAATTGGTGAAAGTATTATAATTTTAAAGACAATTAACTGCGAAGCACTGAGACATTTGAAAGAGGTGATAATGTGCAATATAAATTCAAGATTTTTATTGAACCTGCAGCTATGCTTGCACATAATTTTGAAGCTCCCAAAAATATAAAATTAAACTCCACAACATTGTTGCTTATCTGCATTTATAATTACTTTTATAACTTCCAAGTCCATATGTGTCAGTACTTTCTTAAATAAAGTACATAATCCTCCTTAAACATTTTTCTTACACCAAACTGTGCAAGATGTGAAACACTTTTTGATGAAGCAGTCTTTTTTAGATGTTTCAGTGCCAAGTTTACTATAATGGTGAGTCAACATTCTTGGCCATTTTATGAAGCCCAGCTGTCTGTTAGAATGAAGTCAAGACCAGAGATATATTTCCAATATGTACTTAAGACCAAAGGCCTTTGAATAACCAACTGTCAATCACATTCAAAGACACAAAGAAATTTCCTGCACATAGAAAAGCATGACAATCAAATTTTCACAACTCACCGAAGCATTGCACAGCTATTATGATTATAAATATGTGATTAACATCCATGACAAGCTGTGTCTATTTTGATTAATTGATAGATCAGCCTAGCCTGGCCCTATTGTAAATTTGTTTATTTGGAAGCTAAACACAGCTTTCATTTTAATGCTAACACTAATGTTTTACAAGACTCAAATATAAAAATACTTAAAAGTTCCTTCTTTGGCTCAAATCCTTCATCACACTTGAGAAAGCTAACCTGAACAACATTCAACACAAGAACAATGGAGCATGACCAATAACAGATCATGGATTGAACTAATAACTTTCATTCTATTCCTAACTTATTCTGTTAAATATATAAAATGGGGTTTTGCTGAGAGTGGGAGAGAGATGATAACCAAATTAGTTTAGACAATGCACAATGTAATATAAACGTTAAAGGAATACAAACAAAAATTAAAAGTGGTAGCACAGAATGGGACAACAATGTGTACATGAATCACAACATGTACACAGCAAGCAGTTAGGAAGGCAAGTTGAATGTTAGCGTTTATTACAAGAGGAAAAAATTATAGAAGTGACAAAGTTTTACTGCAATTGTACAAAGCAATGGTCAGAACATATCTGGACTACTGTGTATAATTTTGCTCTCCTTACTTGAAAGAATTAAGCATCAGAAACAATTTAGAGACTGTTAATTCAACTCATTCCTGGGTTGGATGTTATTTTGTGAAGGAAGAAAGAAGTGTTCACCTTCTGGGGTATAGAAGAATGGAAGATGAAACATGCAAGAGCTTAAAGGGACTTGGTAGGCAGACACTGGGAGGTTGTTTCCTCTTGCTGTCCCTCTAGACTGGAACTAGGCAACAGAATGGCCTACATCTGCTCTGACATCTTATATTTCTACTTTCCAAACAGGTTGACTGGTTTTAGTGATGTTCGTTTATGATAAGATATTAGCTGGGACACCTCTTTTTCCTTGACAGAATCATAGGACTCATTACATCCATCTTAGAAGTCAGATTTTAAGGTAAGCCACTCTGCAGCTTGAGCTATATCCAAAGACTCAAAAGAAAGATGAATCTTGTGAATCATACCAAGAAGGACTTAGAGGGCTTTGATCCAGTTAGCATTTTTCCTGCCATTTTATTTGTTGGAGGGGAGAAAGTAGCTGCAGTAACACACTGTCAAACGGCTAGTGCAGATCTGTTAAGTTTTTTTAAAAATGCTGATTGAACGATATTGCTCTGCTCTTTATGAAATGACTTGTTGAGAGATTTTTATCAACTTCCTTACAACAAAATTTCCCCGAAATGTTCTTTTGATAATATCTCCCCATCATAAGACATCAACTGTTTGTCATTAGCATTTCAGACAAGTACAACAGTTAAAAAAGCAAGTACAATATGGTTATTCATGACTCACAAACAACATGAATTCATTAAATATTTTCTCCATGTCAGAGGGCAAGTCACAAAGTGTTGCACAGAAGTTCCATTTAATGTATATTTCAAAACACTACTTTTCTTCCAAAAAAGTGGAGTCAACAGGAATTTCAAACTGTGAGAATATTTGATAGGTAGAAGGAGTTACCTGATACCATCAAAATCGTTGCCATGTAGTTGTTAGCGATTGATCATTAAGGTTAAACAAATGAAACCACGAACGAACTCTCTCAAAAAACATAAGAATCAGAAGCAGCAGCTTCAGGCTAAAAAGAGATAACAAGGTGTAG